TGGCTGTAAGCACGGGCAACCACACGATTGCCATCCACCAGGGGCACCAGAAGTGAAGATCAATTTTCCATTAGAATGCTGGGTATACAGCAGCGGCGGTGCCCAGCCACCCATAGCACCGTATTCCAACCAGTCCCCAGTTAAACACAACCAGCCTGGCGATGGACAGCGCTCACCATAGTTTCGCRCAGTAGCAGCATCCGCAGTCGAACAGCAGCAGCAATCCTGGAGTTCAGCAGTGTTATGGCAAAGTCCGAACCCTCATCACCCTGTTGTACCGTCCTAAGAACGACAACGGCACCCGGTAGTGGCAGCTGCTGCTGCCGCAACCTCTCCAAGTCGAGGGGTCAGGACGACACGTACCATGAGTAATGCCCCTTGAATCCGGTGACGAGCGTACACAGCAGCTATACTCAACAAAAAAAATCTATAATAGAACTCGCTCTCTAATCTGCCGTCTCTCGATCAGGCGCCACCAACTGGAGAGTTGCTGTTTTTTGTATCTGCCTCACGGCCCGTCCACCCGTGCATGGGCAGCATCGTAGTGGCCGGGTTGCACAGAGCTACCCGCCAGGCCCCACTTAACCAGGTGGGCGCTCTCACTCCCCTCTCTCTCTGCATGTGCCCGCATATGGAGCCGAGGGCCACCGCCAGCCTGTCGAGCCAAGGGGCGGTCGAAGACGCCCGTGACGACCGCCGTGATGATGATGAACCACGACCGTCACCACCTTCCCCCTCTGCAGCTCACTTGCTGGTACACGTATCGGCCAGCCCTTCAACACACCTGGCCCGTAACCTCGGCCAGGTTCATTTACTTTTTCACCACAGCCACCAAGTAGTGAGCAGGGGAATTCGGCGTAGTTACCAGGTAAACATGGCCACCTCTTACTCCCCCTCTTCTTACACCCCCGTTCTCTTCAGTGCCCCCTTGTTTTCTCCTAACCCACTCCCAACGTAGGAGGTCATGCCCGACAGCGCGCTGGGCCCATTGGGCGGAGCAGAGGTAGCTCGGAGATGGAGGCAACTATGCCCCTGGGCGAAGGCGACTTCAGCAAGGTAGGTGAT